AAAATTCACCCCTTCCTAGAAGTTTGTTAAAGAAACTGTGAGAAGGTTAATAACATTGGGATAAATTGATGTATTAGAATGATGGGTATAAATGTCCTTTTGCCTCATTAGAGCAGCTGTAATCCAACATTAATATTTTATGAGTCCCAAATTAAAGAAATTCTAGCCATTTAAGTCCTTTGTGGTTTTTTTTTTGTTTTTATTTTTTATTTTTCTATCATCATATTCAAGGTTTTAACTGATACCTAAAGGACAGAAGAGTTGGGGATTTGACGTTTGCATTTGTCCTTGACATTTATTTCATGGACATCTTCCTTCTAAAATGGAAATAAATCTGGCTGTGAGAAAATAACTCAGAGATAAATATGTGTCTGTTAGTTCAATCTGAAGCTGACTCATGGGTTTGCAGAAAAATGAAATAAATCTGCAGTGTTTTCCTAATAAAGACGTTAAAGTCTGTAGGTCGCTCATATTGTCCCTTGACAATTAACTCTTTATTCCTGGAAGCTGCTCATTCTATCTGTCTATTTATTTATTTCATGTTATTTTTTAACAATATCTGATCAACAGTAATCTCACTTTTTGGTTTTCACCTGGTGCTCATTGTCTCATGACCTTCAAGAGTGAAAAGTGGAATATTTGGCAAAAATCTTATTGACTATTCCCATGCTCTTAGGGACCTGGCCTTCCTTTCTTCTCTACTAGTGTGTTAAAGTTTAATCCTTTTCTTAATATGGCAGGATAACTTAAGCAAGACAATAAAGGTTTCAGAAAAACAGAATAGCTGCTGCTATTGGAAACTGTTCTGAAATGTTAAGTAGGAAAAGCAGATGGAGCCTATCTTATTTCCTTATGATTCAGACAGCCTGAGGAAAGGCTGGAAAGACCTGCATCTCCCAAGAAAGAAGGAAGGGCAGTAAGTAACATTTTGGTAAAAAGTGGAGCTTTGAAATAGTCTAGAGTAGAATAAAGAGGGCTAAATTCCTACAGGAGCAACATAGGAAAGAGCCAGCATTTGTGATTGGCTTTTGTCCTCCCCTATAACACCTGAAGGCTATAGAATTTGGTATGCAGTCTTGTGCTAAAAAACACAGTACCAGCAGATGCATCACCTTGGCTGTGTAATGGTCACCTTGTCCTTGCTTGCAGTGACAGCCTCATGGTACAAGAATAACATGTTCTCTGTCTGTTGATCCACCAGATGCTTAAGCATGTCCTCCCTTTGAATTGGCCTAGGAGTGCTTTTTTTTTTGCCTTTTTTTTTTTCTTCCCTTCCCCCTCCACATTCAGTAATTGCTTATTTCCATGACAGCTTTCAGAAAAGTGTCCCTTTTCTTTTGAATCAGTTGTGTAAACCCTAGTAGATACAGCCATGCTAAATATTTTATTAAATAAACATGATAACAAGCTGCTGCAAATCTGCTGGGACTGAAAGCCTGGGCTGGAGATGGGGTTGTGAGGAGAGAGACCCGCGGTGTGCTTGGCTGTGAGTTCAGTGTAACTCTGCTGGGCAGGGGGCTGGCAGGGCTGAGGAGCACAGCCCCAGGGGAGGGTGAAAGCTGTGCTAGTAGTACGGGGGTACATGCTACCTCTGAGTCACCTGTCTTCAGATCACAGCCCCAGGGGCTGTGGTGTCTCCTCAAAAATGGGAACTGTAAGCATCGTGAAATGATTTGCTGTGAGCGGGGAGGTCTGATGTAAAGTGTGTTTCTAATAGATAGTATTGAAAGAAATACTTAAATGTCAGGCCTACACATTACCCTGTTGGGAGCTGATGCCTACTGCATCTTTTTCTCACTGAGATACTGTCTTGTTTCCTTAAGTAGTTTGCAAATATATTAAATACCTTCACTTCTTTGGAATGTGACTATACCACAATAACTGCCTTATCATAGAAGATAAAGGCATGTTTGCTCCAATAGAAAAGAATGCTTTGCAGTGAGTTTGTTTAATTACACAATCATTTGTCTTTCAAGAGACTTGTTAGTGTGATAATCTTAAATTTCAGCTGCAAAGTGTACTGCTGTAACTACTAAAGTAAAACTACCAGAGGGCAGATTTCACTAATTAGGCCTTTTATACTAAAGCATGTATTTTTTATTTAGCTTCTTCACTGTTAGTATTTCAGTTCACTGGGAGCTTAACCCCCTGAATGGTGTAACTTTTGCTTGGTTTGCCTACAGCTCCAAAGTAGGTAGGTGGCAACCAGCCAGCAAGCAGCAACCCCCCAGCTATCTGGAGCAAAGGGCACTACAGCCAAGATTGTCAGATGTAGGTCCGAATGGAATAGCTGGAGGGTAATTGGGAACTAGGTGAAAAAGTGGCTTCAGCTCACTTCTGAGCTGAAGTTTAGCTGTTGATGGGAGGGATCCAAAACTGCCCTGGCAGAAAATACATGGTATTTCACAATATGTCAAAGCTGAAGTCCTCCCCTGCAGATACTGAAGTTCTGAAAAATACTTTTCACTAGTCCTTTCCTGTTATCTCCAGAACAGGCTTATAGTGCATATAGCAATGCTGATTTTTAACAGCTTTGATGTAATGAGGAAGTACCATTTAACTACTGCTATTAACATTTCAGTAGCAATAAATCATGTACTGATTTATTTTACCCAAGACTATATCAACACATTTCAAGGCCGTGTATGTTCTTAGACTGAACTAGATCAGTGTACACGTATCAGCCTTGAAGGCATCGTTAGAAACACACTGTATCAAGTGCAGATTTGTGTACTCCCACATGAACCTTGAATCCTTTTCCAAGGCAAGATAGGGTTGTTAGAAATACAAAATTTTGGTTGCTTCAGCATTACTTTAGTAAATTGTCTTGCTATTTAACAACACTGCGTTAAGGATAAAGGAAATACAATTTGTCAAGTTGTCTTTCTACTAGAGAAAGCTGTAGATCTGGCCTGAGATAGTGTGGAAATCAGTTAAGAAGTTGGTTTTAGGATCAGCATCAGCCCCAATTCTGACCAAGTCACAAAAAACAGTGAGATAAAAAAAAAAAACCCACATTGTAATTCTTACCTGCTTCGTCTGTGAACTGTATTGTTTTGTTCTAGCACAAGTTAGATTCTGTGGGACAGGCTGTTTATGGCAGGGTGGTTTGTATGCAATAATCTTGCAGTGTACCAGTGTCTTGCTCAAGGAGTTAAAAAAAACCACAAAACCCGTTATCTTAAGATAAAGTTCAATGTGCAAGGGAGCTAGGCAAAAGTCCCCTACATCACTGCATCTGTTTGATAACCATTTTACACTCATCTCCCAACTTCATCTAAGTTCAGGGAAAAAACATTATTACTAGAATTGAGTTTTTGTTTCAGAGATTAGTTCATTAAACAGTTGGGACTCAGTTTCACTGAGCAATAGCAGAAACTGAGACAGAAGTAGAATAGTTCTAGAAGTTTATTGTAAAGACCTTTACATTGTCAGTACAGGGATACGGATATAAAATGGTGGCATTTAGAATAATTAAGGCTGTTTAGCGGTCATCTGAATTTCACTGTTCAATGGAGCTCAAGCAAGAGCAACTGATTTCTGACTGTACATGTTTTTATTTGTGTTCCATCATTACAGTGAGATCACAAGTTATTTCAGAGACTCGGTGCCTGTTTATTATAAAACAAAGGACATTATTTACATGATGAAAGAAAATTTCAGCATTTTAGTGGAATGGATGACTGATACTGCAACAAGTTTAGTCCACATATTTCCCAAGAATGTCGCCATCTCTAAACAAGTAGTAGTCCTGCAAAGAAAAGAAGTGTTAATACATGTCACATCAGTTGTCTCCCAGTTGTTTGGCAAATACTGCCTCTTCTGAAGTTAGGGCTACCACACTCATGAAGTACAAAATTCAAAGTGACCTAACCAAGACTAGCCTTACACGTTGACTTCTTGAAAATATTTTTGGTTTATAAGATACTCTTTGGCAAAGCTACCAAATTACTTTTTTTAGTAGTAAGTGCAAGAACCATTAGAATACAATTCCACAAGCTTTCCTTGATGAAAGCAAGGATATTCCCAGGAATTTCAAAGCCTTTTAGGGCTCCTTCAACTACATGCTTGGCATAGGGAGCCACTTTTTCCACCCTGCAAAGGGTAACAAGTACTACAGGTACCAGAAGGTGGCTGGATTCAGCTGCTCCCATTCAAATACGAACAGCTGTGTTTCTTGAATGCTGCTAAAACTATGAAGTAACTACAGAATTTATCACTGACAATATGACATTTTGGGAACCAGCTTAATTTGCATTCAGAAAGTTGGGAAATGTACCTTATCTTCTAGTACAATCTTCGTCCCACCATATTCTGGTAGCAAAACCTTTTCACCAACTTTCACACTCACTGGCTGAATCTCACCATTCTGAAAGAGGGAAAAAAAATTAATAATTAGTTTTCCACAATATAGACACATGTAACAGAATTTAATCAGAACTACAACAAACCATCCAATTATAGAACAATCAGGAAATCACAACAATTCTGTATTTTCTTTGTACAGTGAAACTAGAATATAAAGGTTTAACAGGAAGAAAAACACACCAGCCTATTATCAAGCACTGGAGTCCTACAGTATTTAGACAGTAGAACTGTAGTTATTTTCTGAATCTAATTAATGTTTAATTTTGAGTGTAAATACATCTGTGAGTTCTTTGACTGACATACTGAAAAGGATTTAACTTAAAGAAAAAAATACCCAAGAAGCCCCTTTCTAAAATGGAGAAAGTACACTTCCATATTCTATGGCCAAGGCTAATTACTCCCAAGTGCCAGTTAAAAGCACCTTCCCATTTTTGTTACTTTGATCAAATGGTGACTGTTGCTTGCCAATCGTTGTATAGAAACACTGGATAATGTTTAATTAAATTTTTGTATTATAAACTAACTATTGGCATGCTAGTCAAATATTACCACAGTTTCACAATATAATGCTTTGAAAATCAGATACTGATACAAAGCAGCATAGTATGTATAGAGGGACTCATGGTAAAGAAAAAGTCCAAGTCAACATGCCCCAGTTAAAATTTAACCTGTTTTCCAGTTGCTACTAACTGAAACTACTTTGCTGGGGAAAAAACGTTCCAGTGCTGAAGCCCATAGCCATTGGCATTTTGGTGAAGACTTTTTATGATCCTTTCAATTTCAGTCACTGCCATCATCCATCCTTGCTACATTTACACTCCAGCCATCCCTTTCTGATTACAATATTCCAGCTACCACCACACCATTACTCCTTCTAACCCAATGTAACGCTTCGGGGTATTTACCTTTCCTTTGGCTCCAGAGCCAACTGCTACTACCGTTGCTTGTAGCACTTTCCCTTGGGCTTTTTCTGGAATCATGATGCCTCCTTTGGTTACTGTCTCAGCTGCACATCTTTCAACCAGGACACGATCAAAGAGGGGAAGAAACTTCCTAAATGCTTTTCCTGCCTGTGGAAGTAATTGTACATTGTAACAAAAGAAACATTACAACAAAATTGCAATTAAAAAAACTTTTAAAACCAAAATAAGCTGTTTCTCTTTTGAGAAAAATTAATAGTTTAAGAAAACTGCTGAGCATTCATTCTTAATAGTACAAAACGTGTCACCTTTGATTGCATCAGAAATTGCCAAAGACACAAGCAGATGCTGGGCAATCCCAACAGCTCAGTTGCAGATGATGCATTCCAGCTGGGGGAGTAAACCCTTTAGCTCCAAAACTCCGTAGGATTTTAACCCCACATCTTTGGTTACTATAGTTTGGCGAGTGTTAATTACTGATTACATGCAATGTATTTCTTCAGTTCACAACCAGGCTTAATGATGATTAAGGACCTCTTGAGACAAATAAATTTTTATTCACATAGTGGAGTGTTTTATAGTAAAGAAGCAAAACTCTAGCCAGGTCCCCCCAGGTATTTTTCAGGAGCTTTCAAAGCTCAGCATTTCACTTCATGGTATACAGCCTCTCAAGTCTGAAGCTTGAAGCAAGACTGCTGTCACTTATACTGGCTTTTACAAAAGGACAGCAACTTCAAAAGAAACTACTATATCAATGCAAGCACCAAATCCCAAGAGGGGGTGGTCAGGAAGATAGAACTCGGTTTGGTTCAGAAGGAAAGAGATGGCATCTTGCCAAGTCACATGGAGATGGGGCTGCACTGGACAGGTACCCAGAGCCCACACTCAGAAACTAGAAACCAGGGCCTGGCACCCACGTGCCTTTTCCTGGGGCTCATACACACACACACTTACTTTAAACTTAGGAGAAAATAAAATTACAGGCAGAGCGTGAACAAAAGGCAGTACGTGAAAGATGCGTGTCCCCCCACCTAGTGCTACTGGCACAGCGATGAAAAACCAGAGACAAAAGGCTGCTGCGAGCACTTTCATTGTGTACAGATAACGGCTCTGAGCCGCTGTTTAAGGAGAGACGTTATGAGTACGACCGCCCGCAAAGGTCTACAGAGCACAGATGAGGGATGAGTGCAGCACAGAAGCTGAGGTGTCTCTCGCGGGCCTGCCCGGGGGGCGCTGCCCTGCCCTGCGGGACCCTCCCCCCCCGCCGCGGGCAGGGAAGCA